TATCGATTCCGGTGAGGCCACTCGTCAAGTCTGTCCTTGGGATCCCTTCGGGCCCCATCCAAGTCGTGCAGGGTCTCCATGTTGACTATGGTCTCTTCAGTCAGTACTGCTCTGTTAAATTCAAGAACGCCAGGAAATTGGCCGAGGAAATGTGCAGCATAACCGAGGAGGAACCCTTCTGTATAGCCTTCATGATGACGATACTCGCGATTTATCTAGCACCAAATACAACCGTGCTTGTCAACAGGTCCTTTCTTGGAGCTGCTCAACAGGTCAGTAGCCTCAAACAGATGGATTGGTGCGGTTTCGTTGCTGACTATCTTTTCAAAGGAATCAGGGAGTTCAAGGAATCAGATGCACCCTTTGGTTGTCTAAAGGGCTGTGTGCACATTCTGAGCGTAAGAAACATTCCAACTGCACTTACGGAAATTACAAACTGTTTGAATGTGCTGATGTTGCTTGTTTATTTAGAAATTTATTTCCATTCACTGTCCTTGAAATGCAGGTCATTTTCATTGATCTTGTGAAACATGCTGCATTCGAAGTACCAAACCGCTTTCCACGCTTGGGCTTTGTCACTACAGAGCATAACAAATGGGTAGCTTCACATCCCTTTGGTAGCTTGCTGGTAATTACTCATGCACTGAATTCTGCAATCAAACTGTGATACGCTATTTATTTGAAACACACCATTCATTATTATGGGTTTCGAGATCTTGTGGGTTTGAACTCTAGCCCACCCTAACTTGTTTGGGACTGAAAGGCTTTGTTGTTGTTGTACACTATTTGTTATTATGTGACATGCCTTGTTCAAAATAATGGCATGCTCTATGCTGCTACAAGCATTACCAGTCTTATAACCCACACCCATCCAATGAGTAGCATTTATTTACCAAATCTTGACCAATCAAGTTTATTACTTACACGGAATTACATTTGAGTGACCTCTTTCAGAAGTAATTTTCTTTTTCTTAAGTTGCATATAATGATTGCTACAATCAGTAACTTTACGCGTATTCTCATTCTAGGTACGTCGTCTAGAAGAGTCTGTCTATGCTCCTGTGCTTAATAATGGAAATGGTAACATTGTTGAAGGCGGAGAATGTGCTGATTCTGATACAGATACTGATGCTCTGTCCAATCAGTCTGCTACCGACAATGATCAAAATAACCAGCATCCGGTTTCACCAGGTCCTGGCAGCTTGCTCATTGTTACAGGGTTAGAGACATCAGCTCGATCTGCAGGTACAAACCATTATAACTGACTCCTATTACATTGTCTATAGCCAGGTTATAAAAGATATTACACGAGCATTTTCAACCATTAATTGACATGTCATGTATGTAACATGCTATAAATTATGTATTGTATTCTCCTGACTCTGTTATCCTTGTACAAATCTCTACATTCAGAAGCTTGCCTAAAAGATGTAAAACACATAGCCATTAATCGAAAACAATTCTTTTTCTTCAACATTGGTTATATGTATCTGAGACAAAATTCTTCCATGTATTGATGTAACTTTTGCAGAACACATTATTTTTCCAAGAAGTGGCGAGCAATTGCAGTCTGCTGGGCCTTCTTCTGAACCGTATTCTGCACAAGTTTGTCGACGCCATATTCTTTGAATTGCGCAGAAGAAACATCTGTAGATTGTGGGTACCAATTCATGATGTGATGTTTTTCCTTTGCAGATTCCAAACGGGCTGGAGGTTCTTGCGGCTGCTGCCGAGAGCAGGAACAGGGATTCACCGTCGACGATGGAGAAGCATGATCGGAGCGCCAAAAGGGCAAGGGTGGAGCCGCCCAATAGTGGGCAAATGGTGCGAGCTGGAGAAGCCACCATAAGGATGGACATGAGTTTGTTTAGTTGCCGCGTCTGCTCCCACCCGGTCAAGCCCCCTGTCTTCCAGGTTAATTTCTTTCTCCAATATGCTCAATTAATTTCTTGTTCCATTCAGCTGAGGTCTGAGGTTGGCAGTATCTGATACAATTTTGTGCAGTGCAATGTCGGGCATTTAGCTTGCGGCAGATGCCTTGCGGAGCTCCCCGACGAACAGTGCCAGATGTGTGAGCACGGCGGTGACTTTAGCCGCTGTCCAGTGATGGACGACGTCGTCCTGTCGAGCACGATGAAGTGCTCCCACGAAGGCTGCCACATTTACGTCCCCTACCACGAGCTCGACGACCACCAGAGCACGTGCCCACACGGGCCCTGCTTCTGCACGGAGACCGGCTGCAGCTTCGCCGGCGCACCGGCGGCGCTCCTCGGCCATCTTGCCGCCCTGCACTCAGTGCCAGTGCACAAGGTCCACTACGGCAGTGTCCATCAGCTCCGGGTGTCGGAGCCACGGTTCCTGCTCCACGCGGAAGAGGACGACAGCGCGTTCCTCCTGGCCGTGGGCGTGCTCGGCATGGCCACCGTCGCGTCCGTGGTGAGCCTCAGAGCGGGAGCATACCCAGAGCCGCGATACGCGGTCAAGCTCTGGGCGAACGGTCCGCCGCTACCGAGCAGCGCGGCGGGCAGCATTCTGCTGGACATGCAGGCGGTGACGAGCATCGCCAGGCCCGGCGAGGTGGCGGTGGAGGAGCTGCCGTCGTTCCTGATGGTGCCGCCGGCATACCTGGTTGACTGTGGGGCGTACAAGGAGGTGTCCCTCGACGTTCGCATTGACAGGATGTGACATGGCCCAGTGCTGATGCAAGTAGTAGTATTTTTCATCATTTCTTCATGGGATGTAATCGCTGCTTAGATGCGACTGCTGATGGAAGTAGGTGACACTAATTAAACTTCCTAGCCTGTAGGTGACTTGTCTGGTTTCCCAATGCATCAACAAAAAATGTTGATGCCTTGTGCTGGAAAGTGAGAGGCCTGAATTGTTCTGACCATTGTTAGTGCCACCCAATGTCAAATAGAATAGTGCCTCTTCCACCAGCTTAAGCGCACGCCTTTGTCCCTTCTCTCTTGGAACAAGAATCTTTTGTCTAATGCTAATAGCATCTACAGCCGGATACACCTAATGTGTGGCCCCTCAAACGTTCACATTTCAAATTTTGCTAATTAGTAAACCTCAAGTCCATATAAACACATGCGACATGAACTATCTCTACGATGCAACAACAATCGTTTGGCTACTACATCAGCACGTGCCTTTGGAATTGGATTACCTAAGTACTAGCTATGGACAAAGATTATAGACGTCTGCCCTTGCCGTCTTTCTCGCGGAAGCAGCGCTCGAAAACGCAAAATGGATCAAGCCGGATCTGCTCATTGCCGAAGCTGTCCGACACATCGATGTTCTCCTTCTCTTTCAGGTAGCCTGTGTTGGAAATATGACCTAGTGGCAAATAATAAATTTTATTATTCATTTCCATGTTCATAGGTATGTTTATGTTCGTGTTATAATTGCGATTGTCCTTAAGTCTGTATATTGAAGAGGCTCATAGAAAACCTTATGTGCATGTGTAAAATAATAAACGGTAATATAGATTCCTAGTCATGCCTTTAAGACTAGCTCAAGTGTTACATGATGATTACGTTTTCCTGGCCAACTAAATTATTGTCATACTATGAGATCCTTTCGTCAATGGTTTATAAGACATCGATGTTCTCCTTAAACCATCGAGTTTCTTCATACTTGCTTCGTGAACTTTGAGGTTTGTTATATGTCATTTGTAATTGGGTTGCTATTACGGCGGCTTACAAGTTCACGAAAAAGTATGACAAGGGACTAGATAGGTTAAAATTTTGATTTGCTCCTCCGACGATGATGATATATTCTTGGGGTCCTCTCGGTGTCACGGTATACATCATCGGCTAGCCAGACACATCATGATTTGATCACGTGGATGCTAGAACATGGAATGAGAAAAGAGAACAAAACCAATAACAAGAAAACTCGCATAGTGAACAAATTGTCGATTCACAAGGATGCTGATAAATCTCACCTCACGTTTTTGTAGCATATTGCTAAGCAACAGGAATAACACACGATAACTAAAGGTTCATTCAAATATATATTTGTGTGAGTATAGAGGTCAATATAGATGTCCACAGTTCCACTATTGATCATCTATCAAAAAGTTTCGCTCGTATCTATATTTTACCGTACCTATAGGATCACACGCTTAAGGCCTGTTCGGGACAGAGAAAAAAACGTAGGAAAACCAAAGGAAAGCCATTCCAAGGAACTGCTCCCTTTTCTACCGTTCAGAACAAAGGAATCTTTTGTTACCGATCCGCAAGAAAGTTTTCTGGGCCAGCCAATTTTTTCGCGCAGGCCCGAGACAGTGGAAGGAAAAGGGCACCGAACCATGCATCACATCGGCTATAAAAATTGTTGATCTGTACACATCGAGGCCACACAGGCAGCATGCATCAAACATTTAAAAATCTATGCAGGGGACCGACATCTGCTGATTTCGTGGGTTTCTTGTCCTACAAAGTTCTATTTTCCCCTGTTTTGCATCTCACTTCCTTTCCATTTCCCCTATTTTTGTTCCAAACCTGTGTTTTCAATCCCTTTGATCCGAACACAGCCTCAAGTGTCATATATCTGCTGAGTACTAGAAAAGGAGTCTTGAGAGAAAGTCCAGAAAGTCAACGGAAAAGTTTTGAAGACACCGAAAATGTTTCAGAGGGAAAACCAAAAATTGCTCCAGAGTAAACCATCAAGCCAGAAAAGTTTTGAAATGCGTCCGGAATTTTCAGAGGGGTGCCAAAAAAGTTCTGGAACCTCCCGAAATATTCCTGGAGGGGACACTCGCGCCAAAACACAATTGTTCCTAAAAGGGGGAGAAGGTTCCCCATTTTGGTGGAAGCTTGTTGGCCCCATGGTTCTCTAAAACCAAGATATTTCATGGTGAATTTCCCTTGCACCGACGGTGAAAAGATAACACCTCCACTCGGCAAGTTCAGTGCATATCTTCCATCAGGAGTGGCATCTAGCAGCAATTACATTACACCAGTGTATTTTCCATGAAGAAATCATGCCCCAGATCACACCCTGTCAATGCGAACGTCGAGGGACACCTCGGACGCCTCAGATCCAACCAGATATGTAGGCGGCACCATCAAGAAAGACGGCAGCTCCTCCACGGCCACCTCGCCGGGCCTGTTGCTGTTCGTCACCGCCTTCAAGTCCAACAAAATGCTGCCCGCTGCGCTGCTCGGTGGCGGCGGACCATTCGCCCGGAGCTTGACCGCGTGTCGCGGCTCTAGTGATGCTCCCGCACAGATGCACACCGCAGACACGACGGTGGCCATGTCGAGCGCGCCCACGGCCCCCACAGCCAGGAGGAACACACTGTCGTCCTCTTCCGCATGGAGCAGGCACCGTGCCTCCGACAACCGGAGCCGGTGAACATTGCCGTACTGGACCTTCTGCACTGGCACTGAGTGCACCGCAGTGAGGTGGCCAAGGAGCGCCACTGGAGGGCCGCAGAAGCCGCAACCGGGCTCCGTGCAGAAGCAGGGCGCGTGCGGGCACACTCTCTGGTGGCCGTCGAGCTCGTGATAGGGGACGTAGCTCTGGCAGCCGTCGTAGGAGCACTTCATCTTGCTCGACAAGACGACGTCGTCCATCACTGGACAGCGGCTAAAGCCACCGCCGTGCTCGCAGATCGGGCACTGTTCGCCGGGGAGCTCCGCGAGGCATGTGCCGCAAGCTAAATGCCCGACATTGCACTGCACAAAATTGTATCAGATACTGCCATCCTCAGACCTCGGCTGAATGGAACAGAAAATTATTCGAGCATTCTTTGAGAAAGAAATTAACCTGGAAGACAGGGGGCTTGACGGGATGGTAGCAGACGCGACAACTAAGCAAACTCATGTCCATCCTTATGGTGCCTTCTCCGGCTCGCTTTACTTGCCCACTGTTGGGCAGCTCCACCCTCGCCCTCTCGGGTGTCCGATCGTCCTTCGGCGAACCCCTGTTCCTTCCCAAAGTGGCTTCTGGCGCAAGCTGCATCTTCTCCGCAATCTGCAAAGGAACCAGGGGGAAACACAGAAGTGTCGAATTGGAAACCATAACATAGTGTAATTCAAAAAATAATGTCACAGAAGTGAAGTGTCAACAAACTTGTGCAGAATACGGTGAAGAAGGCCCAGCAGACTGCAATTGCTCGCGGCTTCTTGGAAAAACTACGCATTCTTCCAAGAAAACGGACCCCTCAACTCTGTGAGTGTTAAATGAATACACTGTAGAATTATGTGCAAAAGAAAAAAGAATACATGTTACAATTTTGTCTGAGATATACAAACATAATGTTAAAGAAAACAGTCGTTTCCATTTCATGAATATGTAGAGATCTTGTACGAGGGTAACAAAGTTGAAGAATACAGAGTTTACAGCATGTTACATACATGTTGTTTGGGACAAGCCTTGCCAATTAATGGTTGAAAATGCTTGTGTAATATCTGTTATAACCTGGCTATAGATAATGTAATAGGAGTAAGTATCTGGTTTGTACCTGCAGATCGAGCTGATGTCTCTAACGCTACATGTTCAACACTGGCCAAGCTCGTTATATCAGGGGTTGTTCTGGCAGTGCCAGGGTAGGCTGCAATCGGTTGCGGGTTATTTTGATGGGTGACAGTGATAGCAAACTGATTGGCCAGAGCATCAGTATTTGTATCAGAATCAGCACATGTTCCGCCTTTAACAATGCTACCATTTCCCATGTTATTGAGCACGGGAGCATAGACAGACTCTTCTAGACGACGCACCTATTTGCATCAGAATGAGCATAAAGTTACTGATTGAGCAAACATTATATGCCACTTCATAAAAAGAAAAATACTTCTGAAAGAGGTCACTCAAATGTAATTCCGTATAAGTAATAAACTTGATCGGTCAAGATTTGGTAAATAAATGCTACTTGCTGGATGAATGTGGGTTACAAGACTGGTAATGCCTGTAGTAGCATAGAGCATGCCATTATTTCGAACAAGTCATATGTCACATAATAAAAAGCAGTGTATCACAGTCAGTTTGATTGCAGAATGTAGTGCATGAGTAATTACCAGCAAGCTACCAAAGGGATGTGAAGCTACCAATTTGTTATGCTCTGTAGTGACAACGCCCAAGCGTGGAAAGCCGTTTGGTACTTCGAATGCAGCGTGTTTCACAAGATCAACGTAAATGACCTGCACTTCAAGGACAATGAATAGAAACAAAATTTATAAATAAACAAGCGACATCAGCACATTCAAACAGCTTGTAATTTCCACAAGTGCGGTCAGAATGTTTCTTACGTTCAGGATGTGCACACAGCCCTTTACAAAAACAAAGGGTGCTTCCGATTCCTTGAACTTCCTGATCCCTCTGAAGAGATAGTCAGCAACGAAACCGCACCAGTCCATCTGTCTGAGGCTGCCGACCTGCTGAGCGGCCCCAAACAAGTACCTGTTGACAAGCTTGGTTGTGTTGGGTGCTAGATAAATCGCAAGGATCACCATCATGAAGGCCATACAGAAGGGTTCCTCCTCGGTCATGCCGCGCATTTCCTCGGCCAGTTTCTCGGCGTTCTTCCCTTTAAGACAGCGGTACCGAGTGCGGAGAGCGTCGCCGACGTGGAGGCCCGCCACGACCTGGATGGGGCCCGCAGGGATCCCGAGGACGGACTCCACGAGCGGCCTCACCGGAACCGACACGCCGCCTTGGAACTCGAGCGCCTCGGTGTCGCAGCTGAACCTGTCGATCAGCCACAGGGTAAGGGCCCTGTCCATCTCAAAATCTTCCATGGACAGCAGGCTTCCAAACCCAATCTTTCTGACAAAGCCTCTCTGCCTATCGCTGAGAAGCTTCATAATCGGTGGGATGAGGTGCGGCGAGCACCTATACGCCGTGTCGCCCTACACACAAGGTAGTATGAGTGAGTGGATTAAACAAGCAACTTACTGAAGGGATTTACTCTAGATGTGAGCTGAACTGAACTGAGCTGAACTGAATAAAGCAGAGGGATTTGCTGAACTGAATCCGGTCCAGCACATTTGGATGCGGGAAGAGGAAAAGGGGAGGGATTTACCTTCCGGCGGGACTTGTTGGCGGAATTGTAGTGCCCCCGCTTTCTGCTCCCGCTGGGATTCGCAGGCGTGGCGGGATTGGAGCGCATTGCTGCCTGCGTAGCTAGGGTTCGAGGTCGGGATTGTGGGCGGCCAACCGGGGGCGGAATCGAGCAGAAAAGGAGCGGATTCTCGCTGCCAGTTAATGGATCCGCCGTCTAGCAGGCAGCGGCGAGCTGCGGCGCCGGTCGCCGGCGGCTGGAGTGGAGTGGAGCGGCGCGGCTGGGGAAAAAAAGGGGGAGAGGGTTCGTGGCGAAGGGAGAAATTGCCTTGTCTCGAAAAAATTAATTTGGACGACGCTCTGCCTCGGCCGACCGGCGCGAGCTCAGATCGGCCAGCTTCCGCACTGCACGATTAGGCCAACACGCCAATTACAGCCGTTGGATCTCAGCTCCTACGTGGTCCTCCTCCACTCGCAGTATTTTCTACTCCCTCTGTCCCATAACGTAAGACATTTTTACAAGCTAGCATAGCTTGCAAAAACGTCTTACATTATAGGACGAAGGGAGCAAAACTAAACTGTGGATACTGGAGCACATTAATTCAGGTTGCGCACAGGCATAATGATGGGCTATAAACCCAGAATTTACATGTCGGAGTCGGACCTAGCTAATCCAGCCTCTTAAACACCCACAGGTGCGTCTGGACGTGTCCACTGGTAGTCATCGGTCACCAAAAACCATAATTACCACATTTTGTGATAAGTTGTCGACATATCGCACACCTTCGATGGTACATGGGCCGGCTCACTTTGCCTTTTTTTACCGGTTTTGGAAAGCTTTCAGAAGGTTCATAAACCGTTTTTTCTGGTTTACTATTTTTTTCTTTTTTCTTTTTCCTTTTAATTTTTTTTAATTTTTTTACAAATTTCGAAAAATACTCAAAATTTGTGTGCATTTCTAGAAATGTTTGGATTCTAAAAAAATGTCCAAAGTTTAAAAAAATTTGTGTTTTGCAAAAGCTGTTTGAAGTTTCCAAAAAAAATGTTTAACTTATATCATTATTAATTCTCATCCTATTCTTTATTTGTTTAATTCTGCTTCTATTGTAATATGGAGTTGTACTCATGCACTTAGGTCCTTAACTTATATCCTATTTCAATTGTGATGCAAAAACTCAAAAATGAGAAAATGGCATGTCAAATTTCAGACCTGGGTCAATTTCATCTAAATTCAACTAAGTTCAATGGAGCTTTCAATTATACCCCAATGTTTAGATGCATGAATGCAATGCACATTTGAAAGAAAAAATAACCCCCGCTCACTCTCTGAACCACGGGACATTACAACACTGTGCGTCGTCTTCTCATCTGTTGGCCTTGAGACACCTCCATTTGACTTATGTTTGCTCCCACACTTGGTGTTTTCCTTTTGTATGATGAGTTTCTTCCATGTTCGGGTCCATTCCGCGACATTCGACTAGCTTCATGTTAGCCGGGGAGCCCGTGAGGATGGTCGCCTTGGATTCATCTGGCTGGGATCTGTTTGATCGCCAGACCCTCTGTGTCGCCATCCAGAATTCCACTTTCAACAACTTTTGGTCACTTCCACCAAATTTCAGTCGGTTTGAAACAAAATTTTGGTGTCAATTTAAACAAAATTCCGAGTCATTCTCACTTTTAGCAATTCTAGAGTTGATTTTCTTTTTAAAAAAAAGTGTCATTTTCAACAAATACGGTGGAGCGCAGCAGCCCAGCGTGTTGGAGCACCATATAAGGTTGAGCTCGAACGTGTTGGACCGGGCTGCACCGCAGGAGATTGATAGGAGGGAGACGTGTGAGGTGCCGATAAAGCATAGGGATTACCCCTAAAAAAAAAGAGATAAAAGCCTTGGGATTCTATCCATCCGTCCTTGCTCTTCCTGAGCAAGGCAGGCCACGTATCCCTCGCCATGGCCATGGCCACCAAGCTCCAATGGTGGCCACGGCTCCTCCTGCTCACCCACTCTGCCTTCTTCCTGCTCAGCCACGCGGCCTCCTTGCCATGGACACTCGACAACGTCTCCGGCCTCCACCCTGTGGTGCTGCTGCCCGGCAGCACGTGCAGCCAGATCGAGGCCCGCCTCACGGACGCCTACGAGCCGCCGTCGCCGCTCTGCGCCGCGCATAAGGGCGACGGCCAGTGGCACCGGCTATGGAAGACCGCGGCTGCTCCTGACGCCGACGCCCCGTGCTTCGCCGATCAGTTTAGATTGGTCTACGACGATGCCGCCGGCGATTACCGCAACGCGCCCGGCGTCGAGACCCGCGCCGTCTCCTTCGGCTCCACCCGCGGCTTCCTCGCCGACGACCCTGCCGACAAGTAAAGTAATTACGCAACTGCTGCAGCACCATCATCAGCGATTGATTTGGTAATTTTGGTGTTGCCTGACACTGGCAGGGAGCTCTGCATGGGGAAGCTGGTGGAGGCGTTGGAGCGAGCGGGGTACCGCGACGGCGAGACCCTCTTCGGCGTGCCCTACGACTTCCGGCACGCGCCCGCCCCGCCGGGGACGGCCAACAGGGAGGTGTCCCGGTTCCGGCGGCGGCTCCGGCAGCTGGTGGAGCGCGCGAGCAGGACGAACGGTGACAAGCCGGTCATCCTCGTCTCGCACAGCCAGGGCGGCTACTTCGCACTCGACTTCCTCAACCGGAGCCCGCTGCCGTGGCGCAGGAGGTTCGTGAAGCACTTCGTCATGGCCTCCACGGGCGCCGGCGGGTTCGTGCTGCTAATGCAGACCCTCCTTCCCTCGCTGCAAGTGAGGATGATCTTCCCCGGCACTCTCTCGGCACTGCCGTCCCCCGTCGCTTTCGGCGACGACACGCCGCTAGTGGTCACTACGAACCGGAGCTACGCCGCGCGTGACATGCTGGCGTTCCTCGCGGCGGCGGGGCTGCCGCCACAGGCGGTATGGCTCTACGAGACGCGTGCGCTTCCCGTGGCGCTGAGCCTCGGGCCGCCGCTAGTGCCCATGACGTGCGTCAACGGCGGCGGCGTGCCGACCGTGGAGAAGCTCGTCTACCCGTGTCCTGGCGGCCTCGGCGCGGCCCCGGAGGTGGTGTACGGAGACGGCGACGGCGTCGTGAACTTGGCGAGCATACTTGCGCTGGACACGGTGATGGGTGGAGACCCGAGGCAGGAGCACTACAGGTCCATGAGGATCGCCAATATGTCTCACCTTGGTGTTGTCTCGGACGCTCTCGCCCTCGAGCGTTTGCTTGGTGAGATCCTTTACGCAGCTACACCCGCCGTAGATGCGCGTGCGATGTAGCGAACATAATTGAGCTGTGACACACCCGCTTTTAGCCTAATTTTGCAATAAAAAACATCTCCGCTGTGAGGTTTTTGATCCGGTTCTCCTTGTCAACTGCATCCACTCTTTCCTATGAATTGCGAGAGCTCCTGACCCTCTAGCTTTTGCCCCCCCAAAAATGTGATGCATCCCCATGGCTGCTGCATAAATGTTTTTCCGGAAACAAAATGCACAACATTTGTTTCTTATTTGTATCTTGTCCCAAAGAACCTCATGAGCATTTTGTTCTTTAATTACACAATTTTTGTTTTGCAGATTCTTTTTGGAATTTCGATTATATGTAAATAGTGGTCTCTCTGCTGCAGCGAACCCCTCCCGCGACCCCCGCGCCACCCTCCCTGGTGGCGGCGGGAAAAACCTAGCTCGCAACCACCGCCTCCCCTCCCAAGTCCCAGCCCCTTGGTGGCGCGGCGGCGACGCTATTTCTTCCCCCGATCTATGGCCATGCTCCAAGGCGGGGACAATTTGGTACGTTTTTGGTGGTGCCTCTCAGCGGTGGCTGCCTCTTGCGATGCGCCGGCCTGGTGTTCGGTGGGCGCCGTGTTATTGCGGTGGGCTTCTTGCGGATGCGGCTCCGGACCTAGTGATGTTGGACCTCCGGTTGCCGATGTCTCTCCCGACACGGTGTCGGCCCCAACGCTCTAGAGGCTGCTTCTCCTATAGTTCCTGACGACCTTGCCCCCGTCTGCCCGGATCTGCGCTCCCTCTAGTTCCTGGCTTGTCGGCGTCGTCGGTCATCGCGTCCCCTGCATTGGCGCCCTCGCCCCGCGCCTCCCCAAACCCGGCCACCTTGTTGCACCGCCCCCGTCATGTTCAAGGCCCTTGTGTTTGGCGTGGCTCCCCTTCTTGGTGGTGGTTTTCGACCTACGTTTGTCAACCAACTCTCGGTTTCTGATCCGTTGGCTATGGGATTGCTCAGACCTAGGTCAAGGAGAAATCCCTCCTCAACTTACCGGTGTTGACAGTGGCGACACTCGTGAGTGTCGTCCCCTTCTTGGAGACATTGTCATCGCCTCTCTATGAGCCCCTCTTTGAGCACTACGGAAACCCTAGGTTTGATTCTTCAGATCGGACGACAGCGGTCGCTCAATGTCGTCTTGTGTGCTCACGACGTCCCATGTGTTATACTTGTGGATGTAGGAAAACGTACCAACATTCAATAATACCAAATCAATATTGTTAGATTCATTATGAAATGCAGTTTCATAGTATATATATTTGGTATTGTAAATGTTGGTATTTTTTAATATAAATTTAGTCAAACTTTGCAAAGTTTGACTTGACAGAAATCTAATATGCAAAGTAAAAAGGACCGGAGGGAGTACATACTTAATTTTCCTGGGTCATTTATGATAATTTAACCTCACTGACGCCACTCCAAATAAGAACTAAGGAGATAAAATGGTTTTCCATCGTTAAAAAGAAACCTAGGTCTGTGGTGCCCGCCAGCTCTCACACTTATGAAATGTTGGTCCATCAGCATATTTCCGTGATAAGAACCGTAAGCTTCTAGGATTCTCGACAGATGATGTCCGTTATCTTTGTCGACAGATGACGGTCATCTTTCCGTATTTTTTGTTCTGTTGCATACTATGCAGGTGAATGTCCGTTAAACTAGTGTCGATTTGCTTCTGCATTTCCCCAAGCTGCTGCTCCCAGTTAAGTGCCACAAAAAGGTTTTGTGAACTTGTTTTGTGCTTCGAATTATCAGGCTATGTTCTGACACAGGTGTTGAAGGTTTAAAGCAAAAGTAATAGGC